AATTGGATCCGGATTAGTGCGAGCGTGCAGGTGGGGGAGGACTGTGGTTGCCCCTTAGCCTGTGGTTGCGTGTTTGTAAGTCTACAGCCAGTGCACCTAGCGGAAGTGAACTGAAACGTGCATGGTAACACACAAACCAACACTCAAAAACTCGCCAGTGAAAACATAACCCCCGCCATGCCCCTGGCGGAGGTAATAAGAAGGAATAATTCAGGAATAAACAAAGAATAAACACATATATGTATTGTTGTTATCTACTCCTGAAAATGTGAATAATTCAACTATCCCCCTCCTACTCCTCCTCCTCCTCCTCCCCCTCCTACTCCCACATCACCTTCTCACCTCTTGCTCATCTATCACTGTCTCCCCTCCTCCTCCTCCTCCTCCTCCTGCCCCCTACTCCAGCACCTTCTCCCCTCCTCCTCCTCCTCCTGCCTCCTACTCCATCACCTTCTCCTCCACCTCCTCCTAACCCTCCTATGGGCACCCAGGTTAAGGTATAATTTGCGCGAACAATTGCAGACCGGTCTGAGATTACCCCAGTCCGAATTTACCCTCCTATGCGCGAGTAATATACCCTCCCATGCAGGTTAAATTGACTACGTCACGAATTTTCTATGGTAAAATTTGTAAAAATTGTGTTGCCATTTTTTTACATTAAAAGTAAGAACTAACGGGATTAAACGTATCGTCAAATTTTACCTGATAAGATTGTTTTTCAACTAATTAAAAATCCAAAAAACCTGGACGATTTGATATTATGTTCCTGACATTAATTGCTTGCTATGGGCTATGTATGAGTCACGAGTGTATGTTCACATAAAACAATATAGTAAAACAGGAAGTATAATGCAGCAATTTAACCATAAAAAGTGAACAGAATTACTTATATTTTGTGAAAAAGTGGAAATGTTTTTTTTATTTTTACTATTTACGGCACCTTACGTAATCACTTTAAGATATAATTTGCGCAAACAATTCCAGCCCGGTCTGAATTTACCGGTGACCCGTCAAAACCTGGACCGTCAGAACATGGACCGTCAAAACCTGGACCGTCAAAACCTGGACCGTCAAAATCTGGACTTCTGAATGTGTATTTATTTTTTTTGTCGTTTGTAGATGTGTCTCCGTGTTTTGCTATATTTATGCTAAATAAATAGATAATTAAATAGGCCATCAACTGACTATCCTATGATGAATATTGTACGTGCTTACTCATCGCCTCTATAACTCGGGGGGGGGGCAATTGAATTTAGATATGTTTCACTGAAATTTTGAGTA